GCGGTCTAGCTTAGGTGTTTTCGATCGGCCGTTGTTCTTGCTCGATCGATGATTGTTCCGTCGACAACTTCCTTCCTTGTCTGTATTGCACGTTTTCTCGGTGATAAAACTGGCTCGAAGCAACTTCGACCGATGTTTACGTATTATTATCTCGTTCAATTATGCCCAATCGGACTGCACGTTATCTACAACGAACGATAATAAATGGTGTTCTATGCTCTTTATATGCAACGCCGTTTCGCGATATCAATTTTACGTGTCTCGCGGTGGTAAGTCGATACTCCCGGCGCGAAAGTTTGCAAACATTTCTATGAATAAAAGATAAATCGACAGAACGATCCTTAATCGGATTCCGTTCTCTCTTGTCGCGTTCGACGTGTCATCATCGCGCGGGAAACACCGTTCGACTAATAGTGTTTATTAAAAATAATTCGTCGGTTTTAAAAATCGGAAACAAACAATGCGAAAAGTGACTTAATCGCGATGTCGCGAAGGAAATACTCGACGAATTCCGACTTCGTTTTTAAAACAAAACAGCATGTCACGATGTTTAATTTCGCGCAACTTGTATCGCGAACGAACGAATCGTGATTTACGATAATGTTTCGCTTAAATTTATCGTTAGGTACGATCGTCGTGCGGATCGACAAAATCGAATCTCAAAAATGACCCGATCGTTAATTCAATCGGCTGCATACGCGCGCGTACAAACGGTACGCGGGTGTTACGCAACATGGTAAAACAATTGATTCAGCAAATGATCGATTCGACGTAGCGTGAATACAAAAGCTTGCGTGGAAACGCAGAAAGGTGTGAACGTGCCAACCACGCACGATACAGACCCGAAATCAATCGTACAAATAGAATCGAAAGTAATATCGATCGACCCTAGATTGAATTTTTAAATACGAGTTTTATTATACTTAGCGTTGGATGCAACGTCTTTGGGGTGTTTAACCCTTTAACGCTCACGCTCGTGACATGCAGAGTGTTCGGCCACCCTTGGGAAAAATGTTAATGGGGGATTCTAGAGGCCAAAATAAGACGAAAATCAAGAATACCAATTTGTTGATGGAGGCTCCGTTAAAAAATTATTAACAATTAAATTCGAAAATTTCAAATCGCTCTGGAAAAATTATTTTCAGTTCCGGGGGTCGATTACAATCATTTTTGGTGATTAGGCATACCCCCGAAATCCTACACACTTTCGAGAAAAAAATTCCGGAAGGTGGGCAAATTTTTCGGCGAAATTAAAAAATTTCAAATGGTTCTAAAAAAATTATATTTAGTTACAGGGGTTGATTATAATCATTTTTGGTGAATAGACATACCCCCGAAATCCTACACACTTTCGAGAAAAAAATTCCGGAAGGTGGGCAAATTTTTCGGCGAAATTAAAAAATTTCAAATGGTTCTAAAAAAATTATATTTAGTTACAGGGGTCGATTACAATCATTTTTGGTGAATAGACATATCCCCGAAATCCTACCCACTTTCTAGAAAAAAATTCGAGGTGCGGAATTTTTCGACCGGAAAAAAAAAATTTCAAATCGTTCTAGAAAAATTATTTTCTGTTGCGAGGGTCAATTACAATCATTTTTGGTGAATAGTCATAGCCCTGAAATCCTACCCACTTTCTAGAAAAAAATTCGAGATGATGTGAAATTTTTCAAATCATTCTAAAAAAATTATTTTCGGTTACGGGGGTCGATTGCAATCATTTTTGATGAATAGACATACCCCGGAATTCCTGCTCATTTCCGAGAAAAAAATTTGAGAAGGTGTGAAATTTTTGGACGGGAAAAAAAATTTCAAATCGTTCTAAAAAAATTGTTAAGCTGTCGAGATTTGCCCCCGCGCCTCCCCCTGCGGCTTGTTGCTTCAGCGTTCCATCGAAGACGTCGGTTAACGCGCTTTGGGACCCAGCCTCCGCGGTGCCAGTAAATCGCTAATTGATCGTTAACCGTTCGCGACGTTTACGGTTCGAAACCGTTTTATTGCGTTCGCGGGGAAACTCGCCCGCGTCGATCCCGACTTCTGCATCGCGAAGCTCCGTCGCCACGACGTTCCGTGGAAATCTCGAGAAAGGGTGGACACACACCGCCGGCTGATATCGCTCCGAGGTCGAATGTGGATGCTTTAAACTACCTACATGTAGGCCAGTGGGTCAAGTCGACATTAGCGAGGACGCGAAGTAGATCGCGCGTGTCGAAATTGTTCCTCGCGCGTTCAGCTCTCTCGCACCGGGATAAGCTTGAACTTGAACGCCAATCGAAATCCGATAAAGGCAACCTGATAGATTTCGAACGCGTTCCTCCCCACCCACCCCCGCGCTATCGATAAGCGAAACGAACCGCAAACATCAAGATTAGATTCCCACCGGCTGCATCGATCGTTATCGTTTCGGAATCGTTCCTAAGAGAGTTTACGACGCCGCAGACTTCGGTCCGAGAAACGCCTAACAACGCGGTTCGAGTCTCATCGCGAACACGAACACGAACACGAACATACCAAACACGTTCGGCGGTTTCACACTCGTGTCTCGTACATTTCCACGAGGGGGTTCTTTTTTATTAAGTTATTTTGGAACCGTACCTACAAAAATTTCAAACCGTTCTGGAAAAATTATTTTCTGTTGAGGGGGTCAATTACAATAATTTTTGGTCATTATACATACCCCCGAAATCCTACCCACTTTCTAGAAAAAAATTCGAGATGTGAAATTTTTGGACGGAAAAAAAAAATTTCAAATCGCTTTGGAAAAATTATTTTCGGTCGCGGGAGTCAATTACAATCATTTTTGGTCATTACACGTACCCCCGAAAACCTGCGCACTTTCGAGAAAAAAATTCTGTAAGTGCCTAAATGTAACGAAAAAAAAATGTTTCAAACCGTTCTGGAAAAATTATTTTCGGTTGCGGGGGTCAATTACAATCGTTTTTGGTTAATAGGCATATCCCCGAAATCCTGCGCACTTTCGAGAAAAAAATTCAGTAAGTGCCTAAATGCGACGTAAAAAAAAAGGTTTCAAACCGTTCTGGAAAAATTATTTTCGATCGCGGGGGTCAATTACAATCATTTTTGGTTAATAGAGATAATTCAGTACTGTCAGAACTTTAAACATTAATAACTTTTTAGCAAAGTCTCCATCAACAAATTGGTATTCTTGATTTTCGTCTTATTTTGGCCTCTAGAATCGTCCATTAAAATTTTTCCCAGGGTTGACCGAACACTCTGTATAATATTAATGGAAGGTCGAGAGCTTGCGAGAGAAACGGTCCCTCTGGTGGCGAGTACGGGGGACAATGCCATTTCTGAATTAAATAACGACGTATCATCACTAATTCCTAGAATTGCATCGACGATGTGAACGCTGCGAGTCATTAAATGTTCCTACATGAGACTAACACGTTTGAAAACGCAAAGAACAAAGTTTTAAAATAAGGAGGAAATACGTAATGGCCGGATGTTGACCAAACATTCCCAGTCTCTCGCTTTTGTAAGCGATAACAATTAACGAGAGATCATCATAGAGTAAAATTCCAACCGCGAGTTACCCCCCTCGGTCCTTTCAGCCCTTTTTCCTAAAACGATCCAAAGATCGATCGCCGCGATCCAACGCGTCGCCTAAGTAGAATCGCGATGCCGCGGGATAATCCCCCCATAGACGATTCCATCCCGAACGTCGAGATTTATGCGTCTAATATGCTCGGTATTAATTCATAAAACCGTGGGGTATTACCATCTACGAAACTGCGCGATTCATAAATCCCGAGATTTATGCTCCGCGACACGCTAAGCGCGCGGAAGACGCGAAAACGCCGGGTTGGCGGCGATCGAATTAACCTTGAGACGACGATTCCGATCGTAACGAAATCGCCGGATATCTTTGGCCGGTTGGTTATCGAGAGAGGACCCCCCCCCTCACGGATGGATCGCGGGGAACTGGGTCCGTTCGTCCCGCGTGCGTGATCGTCGGCGTGAACGAATGGGATCGCGTAAGCGGGTCCGGGGCGTTCGATGTGAATTTTACCCGCGTGAACGGTCGCGTAGCAGCGAACGCGTTTGCTCTCCGTAACGGACGACTGTATTCGGGGAAAAAAAATTTGCAATTCCGCTGTGACATCAGCGGCGAGGATCTCTCAGCCGAGGAGGAGACACGGAGGTCGTTGCATAGAGGAGGAGGTGGCCGGAGAAAGAGAAGTAGGAGGTGGAGGAGGCGCACGGGTTCGCTTTTGCCTGAGCGTACCCGTTCGTTCACCCTAGCGGGGGCACCAACCTGGCTTTACTTCAGTTACACGCCGAGAGAGCCCGTCGCTGTATATAGGTATATAATACATTCTCGCGTGTACTTACACCTAGTATAGGTGGGTATACGGAGTGTACAGAGAGTGTCCCGGTCGAGCATGATGCGGTTCCACGGCCCTTTACGAGCGAGGCGGGGTACCGACTTGCCCCGTTCACCAAAGAGAAAGATCGAGACACCGAGAGAGAAAGGGACAGGGGCCAAGCCCTTGTGTGTTCTCGATCGCTTTCGACCAGCCACGGGGATCGTTCTTTGAAGGGAATTTTTTTTTATACCCGAACCTTGCGATATCGACGTCACGACGGGCGGAGAATTTCCAGCGCGAGGAAATCATCGACAAAAACGCCGGCACCGCGATCCGACCGATCGACGGTCGTTCGCGACCTCCGCGAGCGGATGCGACGATTTTCCACGCGTACGCGATCTTTCGCGCCGCGTGATTTTTCGGTGACGCGGAATTTTCGCCGTTCGTCGGATCGAATGTCGCCCCCGGGGTCCTTGACCCAGCGCGCGCGTTCGTTCGAAAACGCTGACTATTCGCGATAATCACGTACACGCTGGCAATGGCGAGTGTTCGATCAAAATTCATTCTGTTCATCCATAACGCGACAGCGTTCGAATCACGCGTTACGATTATCAGAATATACTTTATTGTTTTCTATGGAAACTTAAGGTATCGTGATGGATCCGTTGGGTATACTAGGCGATTGTTAAATTATGAAAAGTAAAACGTACAATGTATTAGAGACGAACGGGAACCGCAGCTTGGATTAAGAGTAACGACCAGGGGGGGCGCTGACCATTCTGATGGATACTGGATCCGTTCCTGTGTCCGTTGGTCTGGATATCCGTTGTTGATGCGAATAACTTACTTCCATATCGATTTCGTCCAATTCCTCCTCTTCCTCCTCGTGGGTATCCGATTCCTCCTCCTCCTCGCCCTCTTCCTCGTCATCGTCATCCTCTTCCTCTCCCGATCCTCTGAACTGTATACAATAACAATTATAATTCTTCGCAATATCCACCTACGTTACCTTCGACGAATGAAAATGATGTAGGAAGCTAACGTATCGTAGAAATTTCCGTTTCTTGGCTCCCCCTACGGTCGATAATATCGTACTCATAATTAACGACAACTATGCATTGATAAAAAGTTTAATATTTTTTAAAACAACTTGACTTCGTCTCTACCGGGCTTGTTTCTATCGAATACGCGATAAACCGTACGAATCGAACTCCAAAACTTGTCAAACTGTAAGCTGAACGTAAGGCCAAATAACGGATACAAAAGTGAGGTTAACTTACATCACTGACAGTTTTGCCAATCGGGATGTGATCGAATCCTTGCACACGAACGTGTTCTCTCTAAAAGAAAATACATTCATTCGTACACGCTCAAGTATTTAACAATAACGATTAAAACCTATCATTTATATTCGTGATTCTAACCCATGCTTGGTGTTCCGCTTCGAGAGCAGCTACCTCGCTTTCATCGTCGCACGGCCTGTCAGCGTTGAACCACAGAGGATCTGTGGCTCTGGGTTGTAAATTTGGCCACAACGGCATAAAAGACATGATGAAATACGTTAATCGCGATGTTCAGCAAACACAACAAAAGATCGTTGAAACGACACCTAACAAATTACGAAAAATACAGAAACCATTCAAGCCTGCGCAGAAACTACGCACGCAGACGTGATATTCAGTAGACAGCCGTTCGATGGAACTTTCTATCCCAGAGACACTAGAGACCTCTATCGAATTTAATTTTATATTCAAACGATACCGACTCAAAATGGAATAATGGAATTATAAAACCAAAAACGAGGTATACGAGTAGACTTTTCGCCTAATGTATTTTTTCAGCCCATTTCTCTAGGGTCTCGAAACCTCGTTACCATTTCCCTGTCACTCGCAACGTTACCAACAGATTTAGAAATGAACACGAGAGGAAGTGAGACAGAAAATGAAATTACAGAAATTTTAGTATTTTTTAACGGAACGAAAGCTGTATTTCATTGGAGTAACCAATCGATTAAGATTATTTAAAGATCTCAAGATTATTAAAATACGTAAGGATGTACCTAATTGATAACTACACCGCAAATCTACTGTTTTTTATTTTAAATTGTAATATATCATTTATTTAAAAAATAACTCGGCAAAAACGTATTCGCGACTCGAAATCGGTATCAGACCACACACCAGGGCAAAGAAGATGTGTGGGACTATGAGAAGAACGCAGCCATTAGCTCATATTATTTGCTATGTAATTAATAATTATATTAATTACATAGTAAATAATAATCCCCAGGTCTCACCTCGTGGAGGTTGCTGCGTCTGGAGACCCACCCTAGCCTCGCCCCAACCACCCTTCCTTTGGCGAGGAATTCGAATATCTATCTGAGAGAGAAGCTATCGAAAAGTTAGAAACGAGCTAGAAAGGGACAAGTTCTTAAAAGAACTGTCCAATAAAGAGATGAAAGACCTAACGAAATACATGTGAGATGATACACATGTTTTCTAGAAACGAAATTGGAATGTGCAACTGCACGTACGAACTCTGACGAAGAGATAAAAAACCTAACGAAATGATACATGTGAGATAAACCAGCACATGTTTTCTAGAAACGAAATTGGAATGTGCAACTGCACGTACGAATCCTGATTACTAAAGTATCAATGTGTACTTTATTCCTAATTGTTCCTACTTAAATAAATACCTAAATTATGACAAGACACTTGTACAAAACGAAGAAAGGATCTTGAAGATCCAACCAGAAATGTGCAACTGCACGTATGGACCTCGCATATTAGAATACTAATATGTATCTTAATATTAATCATTCCCACTTAAATTTACGCACACGTTTCCGTAATACTTAATAAACGGCAGGAGAACGCTTTTTTATCTTATAATCTATATACATTTGTACTTATATTCTAACGCAATCTGTAGAAACATGAAGAAATATGAGGAAATATTTTCTTCTTGGTGTCTTCGTCAATCCCACGATGTTTTTCTAAAACATACACTCATATACAATAAATATAACCGATATGAAACAAAGAAATATGACAAGATATTTTCTTCTTGGTGTCTTGACAATCCCACGATGTTTTCCTGAAACAAAAACTCATATCCAATAAAATATATTTCATATAAAACAAATAAATATGAAAAAATATTTCTTCTTGGTGTCTTGATTAATCCCACGATGTTTCCCTGAAACATAAATCAGACAATAAATAAAATTGTATGAAATATTACTCTAAGAACGATCAAGATGGAATCCAGGTACCATTTCCAATTCCATTCTTCGATGATTATATTTTCTGTAACAAGAACTTGTTCAAAGGATTAATAGCTGAAATGAAAGTGTATTAATGAACACAGAAAAAAAATTAATATTTGAACTGAAGCTTCCACGAGTAAAAATTGATATTAAAAAATTTAAAAACATAAATATCCCGTGAAATTGAATGAAAAATTAAATTCGTCTCATTGTTAAGATAAATACGAAATATTCATTTATCAAATAAAAAATTTTTCGAGACGTATACATTGCAATAACTATATTTTACTGTATTCAAAGCTAAATTATGCTCATAGAGAAAAAGCAATAGCGAACGAAAATATCGATTCTACGCGGCAATTAACTCTCAATATGAAATGTCGAATTGCAATTTGCATACTCTTTTGATACAAGCATTCTATTTTCCATCAATTAAAACAACGATCGCTAGCAAACTTTGATTTATGCAAAGAATACAGAATATTTATAAAAAAATCCACTATTTATAAATAACAATTAGGTTGAAAAGGTTATTATATCCCGTAAAATTTATCAACTCTAATAATGAATAATTGGTGATATATTATATGAATCATGAATTTAATCTATGACACAATTAATTACAATACAGCATGTTTAAATGCATCACAAAGCTGTGATCAAAATATATTCATAGAAATTACAGGTTTTAACGCGTTTTGAAAAAGAAAATAATTGATCTATTTACATCAGTACTTTCAAGCAGTGTTTTCATTGACAAAGATATATTTTCCACTCATAAATTCAAAAAACAACCCGTGAGTGGATATCTTTCGCAACGCTAATTTATAAAATATAAAAGTATACGCGAGTGGTGCATATTATTCGCAAAATGAACCACGCAGGGTTCCTTTATTAATTAAAACGCGTGCACCCATATTCAATCATACGCAACACTAATTTTAATAATCATGTTGAGCCATTCGAGGCTCTGTAGAATCCCATCTTGCTTCTTGATGATCTTGAAACAGTGGCCAGCGTTATGGCCAGCTTTTGGGCATTGGATCGCAACTCTAATTCATAAAAAACGCAACAAGTCAATATCGCAACGCTAATTTATAATATAAAAATTCCAAACGCGATTTGTAACAATAAATGCAACCGCGAATGGTGATTATTCGCAACGCTACCCTGAAAAGTAAACGCGAAAAATAGTAATTCGCAACGCTAGGAGCAAACCGATCGGTTCATTCGCAACGCTATTCTTAAATAACGATAAAAGCAATCGCGTATGGAATTCGCAACGCTAACCTGAAAAGTAAACGCGAAAAATAGGAATTCGCAACTCTACAATCAAACGCGATTATTGTATATTCGCGACTCTATCTTTAATGGAAATATACTTGTTTCGCAACGCTAATGCAAATCGCGTTTTGCCCAAAAATGCTGGATCTTGGTGCTGGCAACGTCCATCCGTGATACAAACATACATGCAGAAAATAGGCTAACTACTTCTAATTACTGTTAACTACTGTAGAGTGGCTCGTGTGGGGATGAATTTAGACGTTTTAAGTATCGCAACACTACGGGGCAACAACGCGATAAATCAACAATCGCAACGCTAATTTATAATAGAAAAATTCCAAACGCGACTTGTAACAATAAAAGCAACCGCGAATGGTAATTATTCGCAACGCTACCCTGAAAAGCAAACGCAAAAAATAGTAATTCGCTACTCTAACAGCAATCGCGTTTATCAATAATTCGAAACGCTATTTTTAAAGCAAACGCCCGGTTCCTAGGTTTGCACAAAGACAATCGCGAATCGTATTTATTCGCAACACTGATATATCAACGCGATAAATATTTTTTCGCAACTCTACGAGCAAACGCGAACATTGCATATTATTCGCAACTCTAACTTTAATCAGGGGTTAATGGTACATGTGAATTCACATGTACTGGCCACTAAATGAACTAACTACTTCTATTACTACAATTGGGGTAGAATTTGGGCATTGAAAATATCGCAACTCTAAAGAAAAAATCGCACGATTGATCAAGATCGCAACGCTAATTTATAGTATGAAAATTGCAAACGCGGTTGATGTCCATTACATGTATAACAGAGTAAAAAAGCAACGCGAATCGTGATTGTTCGCAACACTACCCTGAAAAAGGAAACGCGAAAAATGGTAATTCGCGACTCTACGAGCAATCGCGTTTGTCGATAATTCGAAACGCTACTTTTAAAGCAAACTCCCGGTGCCTAAGTTTGCATGAAAACAATCGCGAATGGTAATTATTCGCAACGCTACCCTGAAAAGGAAACGCGAAAAATAACAATTCGCAACTCTAAAAGCAAACGCGATTATTGGATATTCGCAACTCTATGTATATCATAACCGCGAGTTATGGGGAGGGATGGGCTGGCACGTATGGTGCAATCATGTACCATCAGGTACATGCATACGTGAGCCAGCCAGAAAAATAAACTAACTACAACTACGGACGAGTTAAGTGACAAAATAGTAAGAGGAATGACTTTCCATCCTCATCCGAGGATGAAGATGAAAAGCCATTTGTTGTAGCCCGCTCTTGAGACAGTTTGTCAGGGCCTCTTCAGCTCATCGAGAGCCTTTTCTTTCTTCGGCGGTCCTGCCGATGCCTGAAACTTACGAAAGACCGGGCTCGAGATTTTGTGCAATACGTAGTCTTCCAACAATGTACGAATTGTTGGTCGAGCGTACGTGGTGAATCTCGAGGGGGACGAGCGTTTCGAAAGGGGCCTGATCACGACCGCGAGCGCGAGAGAGCGACTTTAAGAGTCGCGCGATTCGAGGAGTCGAAAATAAAGCCGAGACAAACAGCACAAGTGCACCGTTTGAATCAGCAAAATTTCTACTCTCGAAATCGTAACTACAGGAACAGAACTGCCACGCGAAAACGCGCCTACCCGAATTACTAATGTGGACAGTCCTGCCCTGACCCTACCTACTTAGATTAAGCACACACACACACCAGAAAGTTACCTACCTACCTAACCCTATATTTAAAAAATTTGCAAAACTCAGTCTCTCAAACAAACACTCCACGGTTCTCATTCTCTATGTCCGGGCGCGACCTAAACTAGAGAGGACTCCCCGGGGTTCCTCCGACACCCGGACACAACCTCATTCATACTCTAATTGTGTACGTACCAGTTTTGAAGTGGACTGACAAAGCTAGTGACCATTGCGTACTTTTATTATTTATGTAAAACATTTTGATATATCTAATATAGTCTTTAGTAAAATATACTCTATAATATACTCTATATAAGATTGAAAAGCTAATTCATTATGCATTGTGCAATATTATTGACTAATATGCAATACGAACAATTGTCAAGTAAATAATAACTAAAAT